AAAAAGAAAAAGGAAACAAATAAGAAAAGAAACCTAATCTACGAAAAAGAATCTCTTCTAAATTAATAAAAATATTATACTACATAACAGTAAAAGTATGTATTTCATTGTTTATGCTAATTCCGTGATTAAATCTAAACAGATTGTCTCACATGTTTAGCATTTCTATATGTTGTTGTTTTCCTATGCAATGTTGTGTATCAACAGACTGTCCTAATTTAGAAATAGTTAACAATATCGATCTTTGTATAGGGGTATGCCAAATCTCCACAATTATACAGAAAAAAGACCAAAAATTGAGAGAGAAGGTAGTAGTTGCAGAAACCATAGTGGCAAAAGAGAGTAAGGTACTTGACCCAGTTCAAGTACTGTAGTGGGTGCTTCTTCTTCTTCTTCTTCAACTTTTCTTCTTTTATTATTTAAAAACAAATAACATATTTCTTCAGAAAAACCTTGATAGTTACTCCTCGCTGAAGCCAAGTCTTATGCTTTAAACTGCTTGTATCCACACAAAAACTAGCACCAAACTAGTTTGGGTATACCTCGCGTTGTTTCCTCTATTGAGGTTACTGTGTATTTCTTAAAAATATTGGCTACATTATTGTTTTTTAAAAATAAAAGTTTTGCTCTACATATGGTCTAGGTGATCATCAGAAAGAGAACTCTGTGCTGATGTAATTGGTTATATTTAATCAATTAAATCTGATTAATCGGTTATATTTAATCGATTAAATCCAATTAATCAGTTATATTTAATCGATTAAATCCGATTAATCAGTTATATTTAATCGATTAAATCTGATTAATTAGTTATATTTAATCGATTAAATCTGATTAATCAGTTATATTTAATTGATTAAATCTGGTTAATCGGTTATATTTAATCGATTAAATTCGATTAATCGGTTATATTTAATCAGTTATATTTAATCGATTAAATCCGATTAATCAGTTATATTTAATCAATTAAATATGATTAATCAGTTATATTTAATCGATTAATCGAATTAATCAGATTAATTGATTATATCGATTAGTTATATTACTGTTACAAGTGTTTTTAAAAAATTGACCGAATGATTGTTTGGCCAGTTCGATAAGTTTTGATTTGGTGGTTATAAATATCTTAGTCTCAATTCAATCACATTTTTCAAAAATTTGCAGGTAAAAAATAAAAGAGAGAAAAGTAATTGAGTATTATACAGATAGAGTGTTAGAAAGTAATAGTAAAAGAGAGAATACAGGTAGAATAGATATAGAATGAGTAGTTAAAGAAAAGGATATAGTAGATAAGAATATTAGTTTTAGCAGTAGTTTAGAGAATTGGCTCTTCTTAATATATGCTGAGTTAGGAGCAATTTGGTTCAGGGATGGTAAATAACCAGGTCATTTAATTATTTTTTAAATGACCTCAAAGGATCTTTAAATGACCCGATCATTTGAGGTCATTTGAATTTTAGTTATTTGTAAATGACCTAATGACCAAATGACCCAGGTCATTTACAAATAACCTAAAGTCATTTGGTCATTAGGTCATTCTACATGAATTAACTTATATTTAATTCGACAATATTCATATAATATTATATTGATAAAGTATTATGACATAATCGAGTTAAATATTAAGCTTATCAGCAGATATGCGCATATCGATTATGCATAGCAGATAGTGTACATACGGTACATATAGTGTAGTATACTAGATTTTCTAAATTATTAACGTTAACAGTTTTTATCCTCTTGCATAGAAAAAATACACCAAGAATAAATATGAACTAATAGTAACTATTCTATACTTTAATATATCACTATTGAGAATAATAAATTTAGCTCTAATATACTCATTAAAATTTTTAGGATTTTTAGATTTCTTGTATAATTTAGACAAGTTCATTATTCTCAACAGTGGCTAATTTAGAATATTTTTATGTAAAGGGATTAAGAATTCTACGGCACTTTATTGAGGTTAATAATTTTGGAAATATTTATTTCAATATGTTACTAATTTATGCATGAAAAGATTGAGGTTTTTAGATTTCTTGCATCTTATGCATGTACGTACATGCATTATCAGTATATAAAATGGAAGAATTTGAATTTGATTCTTTCCCAATCTAAAAGTATGAGATAAGTATGTATGTACATACATATTGTGAAATTATTAATAAGGCACTGAAGATTTTGAAAGGGTATCATTAGTATAAAGATAAAAAGAAGGATTATCACAAGTTGAAAGAGGACGATGATGTTATCGTGAGTATTATTAGTTCTATGAATATTGAAATGCAAATTAAAGACAAACATTAAAGTAATGTAATTTACTTTATTGATGTAATAATATAAATCTTGGGACCAGAATAATCAAGATTTTTTTTCTCATGCTATAATAATAAAGAAACAAATTCGATATTGGAAATTCTCATATAGTCTTTAATAGATATGAGTGTAGGCTTATAAAAATATATTGCATTAGTCGAACAATAGAGAATTAAATTAGTCATACGAAAAAGAAAAAAAAAATTAGCAAAATTAACAAAAAAAAAACTATTACATTAGTCGAACAATAGAATTAAATTAGTCATACGAAAAATAAAAAAAAAATTGAAAAAATTAACAAAAAAAAAACTATTACCTAATAGCGATAAAAGAATTGATAATTATTTAATAGAGTCTTACAATAGAATTTTTTTTTTATCTCTAGTATATATATGAGTAGATTTTATACTAAGCACTTATAAATAGGATATCAAAAAGGGTTTTTTTTACTAATCTTTACTATGGTTAAAAGGAAGCACAATTTTTGAGAATTTTTTTATTTAATTGTATCTAATAACCTAAAAGCAAATAAAAAAGCAGTATGTCTTTCATATATATGAAAGTATACTTTACCTGTTGCCTTTACAAAGCCTGAATGCTTTGTTTCTAATAAAGTGAAATTATGTCGAGGCCATCTTTGAAATTGTGAAAATTTCAAAGTGAATTATAATAAAGATGAAGTTATGAAGATTCTTGCATGATCTGTTCCTGAGGATGGTAAAAAAAAAAGAAGCAAAGGTAATTATATTAAATCATATATATTTGAATAATTATTTACATATTTTTATATATTATTATAATTACTTTCTAATAAATTTATGGCAGCTAAAGTCAATTCTGAGTCTGAAGATGAAGTTTCTGAAACTTCTATATCTAATTACAAATCCACTTCGAATATCAATAAGCAAACGATATTTGCTAATTATATTTCACGTTTATTATCTGAGAGAGACAAATTGCATTTTGAAAACTTGTTGTTATGCATAATAGTATCAAATAGACTTCTTTTCCTTTGTGGAGAATTAGAAAATATGAGATATTTTCAATTTTATTATGCCAAATTTAAAGCTACCTAATCGTCGAGCAATAAGTGATCGAGTTCTTCCAAAGATTTCAAGAAACTTAAGTAAAGAAATTTTATAACAAGTATGTACAGATAAAATTAGTATAATAGCAGCCTTCGATGGTTAGACAAATATTAAGCAGGAGTATCTTTTCAGTATCGTTCTGATCACTTCTCAGGATAAATCTTTGATTTGGAATGCATGTAATGTTAGTGATCAATGATCAAAAACCGAAAATGTCAAACTCCTTATTAAAAATGTAATGGATAATGCAGAAGAAAAAGATATAAAAATAAACTGTTACATATTCGATTTTGCTGGCGAGTACGCAGCTGCAAGGTAAGTTTTAATATTTATAAATATACTACAAGTCTTTAGAAATTATAAATAAATAAATAATATATTACAGACGACAGTTAAGAGTTGAATATCTTGATAAAATATTTATGCTGTGTATAGCTCACCAAGTCAATCTAGTTGTCAACGATATTTTAAAGAATCTGATATATATAAAAAAGTATCAAAAAATGCAATACATATTGTAAAGTTTTTTTATTCATCTCCATACTTTACTGGTTTATTATGAAATGAGCAAATATCATATTATAGACAAACTATTTCTCTTGCTACCCCAGCTGAAACACAGTGGAATAGTTTTTACTTTTGTTTTTATTCTGTTTTGAAAAGTGAAGCTGCACTTAAAGTAATTAATAAATAAAGCATACTAGTAGAAAGAATATTTTTATTATATTTTAATAATTATAATTTTATATAATATAATTAGATCTTGGCTACGAAGCTTTTACCCGTAAGAATTAGAACTACTAGTACCTCACGAAGTAGACTTTCACGACAATGATTTGTGTCTGAAGATACTGATACAAACAAAGCGCTTCCGCAAGATATTATATTAATTCTACAGGATTCTAACTTTTGGAATCAGCTCTACAAACTTCAAGATTTGTTATTTTCCTTGTATTGTATATTGAATAAACTTCAGAAAGATATTGCAAGACTACATGAAATCATACACTGTTTTGAATAGATTATCAAAATTTTTGCAAACTATAGAGATGAATGTTTTTTAGAACCTATAGTAGTATGTTTAAAGAAACAGTGGGCTCAGTAGAAACAACCTTTACTTTTATTATCATTTATTTTACATCCAAAATATTAGCTTTCAAAGTTTTCCGCTAATACTTCTAGTCTTTCTTATACGCATTTCATTCAGTAGTTAAATTATTACTACTATATTTGGTTTGGAAAAATGCCAACACGCATTTTATGTGAATTTTTATTATATCAGAGAGAGAATTTTTCTTTTAATAAAGAAACATACGATCAGTTCGAAAATATCATTGATTTTTGGAAAATAGCAAAGGGCTTAGCACCAGAATTATCTCAGCTGGTATCGCAACTATTCAGTATATACATTAATTCAGCTTTGGTAGAACGATTATAGTCAACTATGGGCTTTTTACATACAAAGAATCGAAACTATTTACCAGTAATTTTTTTTTTTTTTTTGTAATTTATTTATTTTTTAATTTAATTCATCTTATTACTTATTTTATATTAAAGTTTGAAAAAGTGCTAGCGATAAGTCAACTGCGTAGTGATATATTAAGCAAAAAAAATATGTAGAAATTGAAAAGGCTGAATTACAATACAAACAAACTTACACAGTAAACCCCATTCAACCTTATGATGACAATAATGGAATGCAAGAATTACCAGAATCTTTATCTTCTACAAGTGACAATGAAATATGTCCATTAACTAAGCCAAAAGAAATACTTGAAAATGATGAAAACATAGTTAATGATATGGAAGATTACTAGTCATACGCAATTGAGAATTGGATTAACATGTTAGATATTGAGAATCATTTAGATAATAGGGAAATTTTAAGTAATGAAGCACCTGAATTTGAATCTAAAATTAGTGGATGAGTTACTCATCCAGCTGAGAATCCGTTAGCAAAATGGGATTTATTAGAATTATTTGATGATTTATTAGAAGCTTCTATTTCTTTTGTCTTTCATAATTTTTGACAGATGATTTTTTTTTTCTAATATTCAGTAAACATTCTTAAATTTAATATTCACTCTAAATAGCATTAAAATTAGAGATACTGGTCTCAACTAGTCCCAAAGAAATTGTTCATTTTAGAGATATTTTTATGAAAAAACTTTTATAAATCGTATCATGTGACCTTCCCTGATAATTGTAATAGTAAAAGTTTTTCATAACTAAACTTTAAATCATAAAAAATTTTATTAAGAAGAAAAAACAAAAAAAGGAAAAAAATATATGTCTGTCTGTATAGTGTGAGCTGATAGTGTCTATGGTGTATTGCTGATGCAGCAGACATAAGTTTTAACACAGTATCAGGGAACTTTAATTCAGTAAATATCATTTGCATTTTGTGTATCTGATATTATGTTAGTAATTAAGTATTAAAATGGTATTATAATAATAAATAATTATAATAAATAATTATAATAAATAATTATAATAAATAATTATATTCAAATACCTGAATATGTAACGATAAAAGGTGAAACTAATCTTAAGTTACAGCTCTATTTAGTTTTCAGGTTGACTTAGTTTTGCAGATTAAGGGTTACACTTGCTATTTCATGAATAGTAAAATTTTTAACCACTTGAAATGTCTATATTGATATAAGTGCTGAGGGAAACATTTTATGTAAATATTTATGTTATCAACTATGGCAAACTTAAATCTGGAAGAATTATAATTTTAAATATATATTATATAATGAATACTTAAATATAACAATAGCCCACCGCTTTGCTGACAGTCTAGTTTTCTATTATAAATTATATCTAATAAGTAAAAAGAGTAGTTCTACTTATACTCAGAAATATAATACATACATATCTAGTATAATTAAACAAATCAAAAATTGTCAATATCTTAAAATTTCATTAAGAAACTAATATAGGTTCTTAAACAAAAAGTTCAATGCTTAATTTTACATATGTATAAACACACTTTTAATCCTAACCTGTTAACTTTAGAGTTTTTTTTTTTTGTGTCGAGTACTATGTTTTTAGATAAATATTATAATTTTTCTAATATTAAGATAAATTAAACTAATTATATGTATTAATCTAAAGTTCACCATCTTGCAAATAAACGATTTTAATATAATTATAGTTATTATTTATTTGAGATCATTTATTCTTGATTTTGATTGGCTAAAAGATATTAAATTAGTAGTTAATAAATGTTAAATGACCCTCATGGGTTATTTGAAATTTGAAATGACCTAGTGACCAGTCATTAGTCACTTAGGTCATTTGGGTCATTTAGAGTCATTTACTATCTCTGATTTGGTTAGCTCTTCTTATAGCATTATACAAAACTGAAGCATATATTTTTATAGATAGCAAAGCTACAATAGAAGCTCTAGAAAGAGACAATACAAATAACAAAATACAAAACTGATTTAAGCTAAAAAATAAAAGTATAATAAGCCAAATTCAAGGCTATTATAAGGTGAAAGACTTAAACTTGACATTGCATAAAGTTAAAAGTTATAGCAGAAACAAATAGAATAACTAATTAAATAGGTTAGCTAAGGAAGAAATGAAAAAATCTATAAGTCTTAATATATCGAAGACAATATCTAGCAACCTAATAGCTATATCTAAATAGAAAAGTCAAATAATCAAAAAGACTTTAAGATTTTTTATAAATATTATTATAGCAACAGTATATGAAACAGAATAGACAAATCTAAATAAAATAGCAAAAATTATAGCTTATAATTAGAATTCTAATTCTGATATAGAGTTAAATTTGAAAATCATATAGGACTTGCTTAAAGAAATATAAGGCAAAAAATATATTAGTTTAAAAAAGAGCAAATCTCTTATATTTCATATAAAATGCATAAATAAGATTCTGTTTACAAAAGATATTTGCTTTCAAAAGAATTCTAAGCTTTATAAAAATCAAAGATATATAGCTTGCTTTCAAGAAGACAAAACTTTCTACTACTTAGCAGAATGTGAAATTTATCAAGGAATCTAAGAAAAACTTAAAAAAGAAGTTATATAGCTAACAGGTTTAAAAGCTTCAACAAAATTAGATCTAATAATAAGTAAAATTTCTCTTGAAGAAACAATTTATGATACAAAATTAGAAAAAAAATAAAAAACAGAAAGATGTATCTAAAAGAACTCATAAGCATTAAATAGCTTATAAGCTTAAGTAAAATAACTCAGTTAAGAAAGAAGGCAAGCAGAATCTTAGTTAGCTTTGTGAAATACTTTTAGGAGTACTTCTTTGAATGTCTATGAAAATTCTGATATAAAGTTATGATTGAGTGAGAGAAAGAAAACCAAATCATGACTAAAGATAAAAAGAAGAAAAATGAAACAAAAAGGAAAATGAAGACAAAGAAAATACTCAATCTAGTAATATAAAAAAAGAAAGAATAAAAGAAAAAGAAGAGAGAATACAGAAAAAGATATTAGAAAAAGTTAATACATAGATGAGGACTAGTAAAAAAGAAGAATAGTTAAAAATTAAAACAAAATAGATGATTTTAATATAGGCTAATAGTAGTTTCTCATAGACCAGAGGTCTAGAGTCTGTATCTGCAAACTAAAGTCTTTGCGAGAGAAATTGTTGCTATAGCAGATCATATTTGGGTACTTTAAGGCAGTTAAGTAAGTTCAAAATAGTTGAAAGAAGGTATCTTATTATATTTTAGATAGTAATTTACTTTGTAGTATATATAAGCTTTTTCTTTTTTTTTTTTTTTTTTTTTTTTTTTTACTTTATACAAATACTATCAGCTGAAACTTTATTGGTTATTTGATAG